CTTTCCCTTTGCTGTTTTCCTTTCACCTATGATAGTATCTTTTAATATTCTTAAGTACAGAGATTCTACTTCCCTCTTCCTTATGCTGCTTTCCCCCGCTACTCCCCACTTCATTCTTTTCTTGTCACAGAGAAACTCCCTTGCTCCTTCACCCTCCCCTCCTGACACCCATTGCAGCCTTTCTGCCCTGCTCACACCACTCGTCTCACAGACAGACACCTCCACCTTCCAGTACTCCGCTGGTTCCCCACCTTGCAACGAGCCCTGCCCCAGGTGCACCTTTGTCTCCCCCATGGACAAGAGGGAATCGATGTGGAGAACATGATTCCTACACAAAGAGGTGGGGTTTATCCCATCAGTCCTCTGTACCGGCCCTGGCAAGAAACCCTCATTGAAGAGAAGGAAGATTTGCCTACCGGTCCCTCAGGCACTAAAGGATCGCCCTTTTCTTGCCCTCCCTGCAGGGGAAGGACCAGCCAGCTGATGGGGTACAATGCTGACCGTAAGGCTTTCTTTCTCACATCACTGTGATACAAGAGGCAGAGGATCGTCCCTGGGGAGAACCCTTCACATGAGAGCTTTTATTCGTCAGTGTGCATTGCCTGATGCCAGCCCCCGAACAGAAGCACAGCAGAGCGGTTTGCATGAAGAAAGCAGCATCACCAGACTCCTGTGCACCTCCAGCAATCTAGGTCATCGAGCGATGTGGGAAGCTGTCACCATTTAGCCTACTGGGAAGTACTAACCTAGGAGAAATGCAAGGCCCTCTCTGGTCCAGAGTCAGAAGATACAAAGACAATGATGAATCCTACAAAGCACACCAGACAGTCTGGTCCATCAGCTTCAAATTCTTATTTACATCAATTTTGCACCAGTATAACCACTGATTTCAATAGCATGAGCTGCTTTTCACCATAGCGTGTACATAACATGAAGTATGCACGGAATCAAGTGTATTCGCTGACTAGTTCCTCTTTATGCTTCTGCTATCGTCCTGTAGGAACGGCTAATCCACTTTCAGGCCTCCTATTCATTTCTAGAGCTTCATCGTTTCCCAGTACACGCCACGGGGGAAACCAGAATTCCATAAAACCCACGTCACCAAAAAAACCCCAGCCATTACCAATCTGATTTCAGTTTTCTTCTTATACTTGCTTTGATATCCACAAAGATAAATGAAATGGCAATATTTGCGAAATACCCAATATCCACTGCATGCATATTTAAAAGCGAATCTGTCAGCACATTACCCCAGCCGCAGAGAGATTAGTCAGAATCTCCCCCCTCAACTTTTCCCTCCCAAGTCTCTTGCTGGGCTCTTGCCTCTGAGTTGATTCCACTTTTAATTTTATGTTTCCGTCAATAGCGGAGAAGTAAAACAGCTGAAGGGGACAGATAAGGGACTTAGCCCACTACAACCACCATCCAACTCCAAATTGGATTGACTGGCTGAGTGCCCTCAAATCCTCCATGGATATGCAATTTAATAGAAAGAAATAGCTCCACACACAAAGGAAAATATGCAGAAAATAATAAGGCCACTTTATGAAACATAACAGTTTCAGCAATATATATATGATTATAGCCTTAATTCAAATGAAATGTAACATACATGTTCTTATGTTACCCAAGGATTAAAGAGCCCCAGATGATTAATTAATTTGTCCTTTTACTAAATGATTTAATTTTTAGCAAGCCATTACCCAAGGAAGAACATAAAAAAAGGCCATATCACATCAGCCTAATGATGAACCCGGTTCACCTTGTCTTTGACAGCAGCCAGTAATGCATACTGAGGGAAGACTACAAACTAAGGCTGCAACAAAACAGATGGGGAAAAAAATGCTAAGGAGAATTTGAGGAAGAGGAAAAATAGCTTAAGGCAGGTGGAAAAACTAAAGTAATTCCCTTAGTTTTGTAGACAGCTGTATATGCACTATATCGGTATGCGCGAGGCTTTGCTCCCATGGGTGAGTGCCCATGGATTTCTAGAGAGGCAGCCCCAAGCAGAAGCGGTGCTTGCAGGGAGCAGCGCTCTTGGCTGTGCATGAGTGCTCCCTTACCGGGCAGCAGCAAATGGAGATCAGCTCTCCTGCCTGCAGAGGCAGAGCAGCGGGGATTTGGCCAGCCATTCCTTCTATTTTTTTTTTTTTTCTTTTAACTTGAGATATTGCCCCCAAGATTCAACCAGTTTTAACTGCAAGCAGTAGTCATGTATCTTCAAAGTATGTGTTGGCATCTTCTGTAATTGTTCAGCTAATGGGAAGATTAAGATTATGCGAGTCCTACCAAACTCCTTTGTCCCAAATCAGGCAGATCTCTGCCCTAGCAGTGCGCTATTCTGTCCTCATCTCTCCCTCTCACTAGCCTTCTTTTAAATTATTCCACTCGGCTTCACAACTTGCCTTCCCTTGTTCGCCTAATAGGATGGCAACCCCCGATCCCTTTCCAGGAGCTCTGCCTGCAACCTAACCTTTCCAGACTGCCAAACTTTCATTTCTTCCTCATTTCCCTCCTGCTGTGCCACTGGTGTCATCGGTCCCTTTCTACGTCCTGATCTTTCCATTTTCTTTCATTATTTTTCTGCTAGGAAAACGCAGTTTAGCCTATTCACTGCTGACTCACCAGTTGCTGAGTAACAAAAAATCAGTGGAGCGTTACAACGTTTGCGGCGGCTCATTTAGCAGCACCGCAAACGTTTTGCACGAGGAGAGTGCGGTGATTTCTATTTGCTCCTAATAATTGGAACGTCTCCAATTTGAATGCTGCTAGTTTGGATTTTTTTTTCTGATTTGGTAAAACTGAACCTCTGTTTGTGATCTGCGCACAGTGCAGGTCCGCGAGCGGGAGGTGGAGGGTGGGATTCATTTCACCCTGAGAGCGCGGCTCATCCCGCCGTGGGACAGGCACCTCCGGCCGCGGGGACCAGTCGCCCACCGCCCCGCCTGTGCCGCTCCAGGCAGCTGGCGAGGTTGGACCTGACACCCACCCTTCGGGTGCGTCAAGCTGGATGAGGGAAATGCTGTCTCCGGGGACTTTGCTTGCTGAAGTGACAGCAGCACCCCTGGCTAGGGGCTGGAGAGGTACCGTAGCCATGAGCACTGGAGGAGACGGGGGCATCATTCTTTTGGCAAAATACCAGTTTGTGCAACAGATCCCCACTCTACTCACTGTACTGTCTGCTTCTGGGTGTCAGGTTATTTCTGGCCTTGCTGACAGCCATCTCTGTTCATACAATGACTGTGGGTAGCAATGCTAGCTCTGACATTCAGACTTAATTGACCCTCATCCCTCAAGGACACAGAGCAGAACAAAGAAAGGCTATGCTATAAATACACTGAAATAGGCCACGCATCCTCGTCTGGAGAGCCCTTCATGCCTCCTGTCATCGTCTTGCTCAGGGGTTCAATGAGACTGTAGGTTCTCCGCAGCGCCTGTCCCAGGCACGCATGCAGGAGCAGCCGCATGGCTGTGCAGCCTTCCTCCAGCCCACGGAGATGGTCCAGGACCAGCCCCATTGAGGGCACAGGTCCCCTCTACTACCTCTAGCGTGCTGCAGGACATTCCCCTGGTCTTCCTTGTCTTCTCAGAAATTGTTACTTATCCTGGGTGGCTCACTTCATGGCTCGTTTGGTAGGGCAATGTGTTCAACCATTTCTTCAGCGGAAGCCATAATTACCAATATTTCAATCTAAGGTGCAACTGCCAGCGACAAACATCCCCCGCTCAGGCAAAAGAGAGGACGTTCTAAGCTAACACTTGGGTGATACACAGGTTGGCCTGTATTATTACCCACATGTAGTGACGTCATCAGCAAAGTCATTATTTGAGACAACAGGGGTCTCAAAATAGTAGTAGAATTTTTTTTCATGCATGTAAACCTGTTCTATGTGAGTATATATCCATAAGACATACTTGTTGATCAGCTCTGAGTAATTTCAGCCTGCTTTTCTGTAGCTCCATCACAACCCAGAGAAGGTGGAGAGGAATCAGGGATGACTGAGGTCTGCAGGAATTCTGGAAGAGGCTGCTGAGGTGACCCCGGTCAGACCAGAAAGGCACTCGCCTTCCACTTGCTTCTTCCTCTTTATTATTTAAAGTTTTACTTTTACTGAGCCATTTTTCAGTCCACTACTAATAATTACAATGATAATCACAACATCACTGTAAGTATTAAAGTGGGTTTTGGTGATGTTCTGAGACACTCAGTTGAACAGCATTATATAAGAAATTCGAACTATTTTTCCTGTGCATTATTTTTTTTATTTTACATCTCTATTTAAAAAGTGAAGATAGTATGCCTTGAATCTGTAATATAGAAAAGCAGCTGCCTTCACATTCCAGCAATACAAATACAGCATGACAAACTATATACGTATACATATACATACATACACACACACCCCCCTCAGCCTGCACAGCTGTTAATAAATATGTATTTTACATTTAGCCAGTAACTGCTGTTCAAGGTTTCTTTCCAGATGCTCAGGGGTGAGTTAAACATCACTTTGATTACAGGGTGATGCATTCCCCATATCAAAAGCTAGCAAAAGGAGCTCCTTTGATAGCAAAAGAGACAGCCAGCGGTGATTAAAACAAGCAAGCGTCCTGGGGAAGTGTTTGAAGTGAACTGCAGACCCTGATCAAAGCACAGGTAATGTAAGCAACACAAGGCTAGTGGGAAGAAATCCTGTCTTCTATTAGACCGGCGCACACTATTGGAGAAAATGGGCAACTTTTGATACAAAAGCCTTTCTTCAGGTCTGTCATTTGGCCTAATAAAAAGTGTTGTGTCTGCCTACCTATGTTGTTTCTCTTGTGTTCGCAGAGCACTGCTGAGCCAATACTCCTGCTGCTACGGCAGAGGTAAGTCTTGCTGACAGACATGATTGATGCCACACTAACAGTTTAGGGGAATAATCTCAGATCTTAATTATTCCAATACAGAAATGCAGCTCCCAAGGAGAATTTATTTGAATTATTGAAAGAGAGCTCTGTCAGAGGAAGAAGAAACAAGTAGTTGAAAGACGTGTTTGTCAAAGCCCGACATTTCTATTACAACAATGGCAAAAACCTATTTTCTAACCTGGTGAAGGTTACCATAGAGCAAAGCTGTCTGAAGTCTCTGTCTCTCACAATCACTCTCTGGCTTTGTGCAACTTTATTCCAGTGACTTCAGATATTTATTTGTTTCTTAATCTGTAGCTATGCACCCCTCTGCCCTATCTGACTGTCTGGTTGCCTGCCGAATTGAGACAAAAAAAGCCCTTCTGCCACTTTCTCCCAAGATCTGCAAGACTGACAAGAAGCACATCTGAGCGCAAGCAGAGAGCTGAGAAGAGCCCTCTCCAGCTCACATTTGCAAGGGGTTCCCTGCTTCTCGGCTCTTCCTCATCTCTCAGCAGCAGCTTCCTCCACCCTGAGGAATTGTCACCTCTGCGGGGAAGGAGGCTGAGCTGGCGATAAGAGCCCGAGCCACATGTGGTATCGCAGAGAGAAAACGGTGGGACAGTGAGGGAGAAGGGAAAGGAGATTAACTGGGATGAGAATTTCTGCAAAGGCAGCATTTGACATAGAGATGTGCAACAACTCGGGGAAGAATGAGCCTAGAGTTCATGTTTGGGCTATATAAGGACATAAAACAGACTTTGGGATTGGAACCGATTTATCCTGAGCATCAGTTGGGTGCCTTGGAGAATTGTGGGATGGGACTGAGCTGGGGGGAGGCAAGTACAAGTCCTGGGAGGGGAGTGTGGCTCTTCTATGAAAAGCTTGTTTGAAACTCACTCCCCTTCACTGGGGTGTGCGCGAGGTTCCCCCAGGAGAAGGAGCAAGACAAGGATAAGAGGGGGAAAACGCCTTTATTTTTTGTGATACTAAAGTGAATCCTTTAGTGAAGCATTTTGATTGAAGGTACTGCTGACACATGCTCCAGTTGTAGATCTGCCAGTTTGCTTCCACATTGTCTGTGATCAGAGGAACATTTTCACCAGCCTGCTCTGCTGCCAAACAGGCAGGCAAGCAGGAGTGAGACGGTGTGGCTGACTAATTTCCAAATGTCAAAACTTGCCTTTAACTCTCTCTCCCCCCCCAGTTTTACAGAGGCAGGCTGCCCATTTGTGACGGCAGTGCCTTGGGCAAGGGTACTGTTATTGCTCTCAGAACGCTGGCTACCGATGCTGCATGCATGACGAACAAGTCTCGTCACGCAGTAATCCCCGAGGAACGCGTCTTCATCTGTTTCTTCAGGGGCTGTTTTTTCCCAGTCTGCATGATGTTGTGTGAGAAGCTGCTGCAAAGTCCTGTGCAAATGTCACTTGCACTTTCCTTGTCAATGAAGAGCTGAGCTCTTGTTACAGATCCCGGCTTTGTACCAGCATGTAACTGTTTATTCCTCTTACAGACAGATATGGTACATTGTGTACAAGACTCTCCAGAGAGCACGTATATAGTTTAACAATAACACATCGCCAAATGTATTCCCTCTCAGAGACAGAAGAAAAGACAGTATTTCCTGAAATAAACACATCCCCCATCTATCCAATCCTTCCATATTCCTGCAGACAAAGACCTGGGGAAAGAGACGAAATTGCAGCCTTTCCCTGCAAGCCACTCACAGTCCTTGCCTGACTAGGACATGGCACAGCGGAGGTCTTCACTGGGAACGTTGCCTAGCTGTGGCACATTAGACCTAGGCACGTGGTTTGTAAAGCCCCAACGGCTCTTAAGGAAAGAATTGACTCTGTAGCAGTCAAAAATCAAATGCTGAGGTATATTCAGAAGTAAACAAGAAACCCCTCCAGCTGCTGAGAATCAGGGTGTCGGAAATGTCCATCAGTTACTGCCCACCAGATTGCTCACACTGGAAACCATCAGATGGTTTTGACAGCTGTGTTCTGCTGAGGCTGTAACTTCTCTGAAAACGCTCGGGGGTGATGCAAAATGGGGTAATCCCATCCGTAAGTCACATATATATATGGGTAAACACAGAAAAGCTACATGTAAAGGTGCAAACAAAGAGATATGAGTGGAAAAATAAGAGCTCTTCGCTACGTACGTGAACAGAAATTTGAGAAGAAATGGGGGAATCGGAGCCCCCTCTCTCCTGCATGCATTGCAGCAGAGCTGTTCTTGTTTTTCTCTTTTTCCCCTTCTTTTGGCTTCTCCTTTCTGCCTTGCTGACCATTTTAATAACTGTTTTAAGGGTGCTATTTTTCTCAGCACTGTTTCCAGCAAAATTTTCTTTCCTGTTGCCACATCTGTCTTTTTCTTTCTTTCTTTCTTTCTTTCTTTCTTTCTTTCTTTCTTTCTTTCTTTCTTTCTTTCTTTCTTTCTTTCTTTCTTTCTTTCTTTCTCTT